AACAAATCACTGCATGAATTGAAAATGATTAAAGGCCGAGGTTTTCAACCGGTCGGTTTTCCTCAGGTAAGTTTGGTGTGGGGTGTAGCTTAATCGAAGCTAGTGAGAAGCCCCTAGGGAACGACGCTGGCTTGTGTATACCTACCTTTATACACAGGATGTTACCTGAATGTATTACCTGTATATGTTTTCCTACGACATGGTAAAACAATGTCATTGTTTTTCTTGTGTAGGTCAATTGAAATGTTGACCGTAAAATTCTTAAATAAAGCATGCGAAATATTTTTGTTGCGAACAGAATCCTACTTAAATTCTTGTTTTCATTGCTTCTTTATCACGTTATTATTTGCGGTAAGCATCAAAAGCCTGAATATAAATTCGATGGTCGGTACGATCTCCAGACAAGGTACACAAGATATACACAATGGCAGAAAACTAAAAGTCAATCAAATCCAAGTATCCAATCCCAGGCTTAATTTCAGATGATTGACAGGGGTTCACAGACCAGGTAAATTAGAAGGAGGTGCTTATTTCCTCCCCCTTTAATATGTATCTATGCATGATATTTAAGTTGCGGATCCAAAGGGGGGATATGGGAGTTCCAACGCACCCTATCATTTGATTTTGGTAAAAAATAAAAAAGAAAAAATCAGATAAGCATTGTAAAAAAGTTAAAATAGGTGAAAAAGCTAGAGGTATGTGGACGTATCCATGTAAACGGTATTTTAAGAATTATCAGAACTTGTTCTCTATTATGAAGTCGTTCAAAAATTTCGGGGATTTTTTTTTCGAGTACATATGGAAAACATTTTTCTTTCAACACTTTTTAGACATAGGTTCATTTAAAATGATATAGAAACCAACCTTTTCTTTTTTTTTTATAAATAATAAATAGGATACATCAACAACAAAATATTGATAAAACGTTTTCATATATGCTATAATTTATATTTGGCTTCCTCAAGAACTACGCATAAAAAATGCCAAATTCGATTTAAAAAATACAAATGTACTCGTATATTGCTTGAGTTGATTCTACTCGTCGATTTTAATCTCAAAATGAAAAGAAACAATTATTAAAGATTTCCCTTCATCTTTTAAAGATGATATAAAAAAAATTGAGACATATTAAGCGCAAAATATTAAATAAATTTAGCATATTTAAATTAAGTAATTTCTTTGTTGAACATGAACTCGTATGCACACTTTTGAAATTAATACATATTATCCATATAATTTCCTCCATAATTATTATCTTGGCCATGATCTAAATACAAAATTTTTATTACAAAAACACCATTCAAGTTAATGCGTTTTGTATTAAAAAGTTTGTCTCTCAAATTCCCAGAATCTAGAAGCTTATAATTTCCTGACCCCACCATGGCTCTTCCCTGTACCCACTGGAAGCCTCATGGTGGCCACAGACACCAGATCTCCCTATAATGTAGCTGGCTTTTTAATGAGAATATGATATTGAGTTATTATGTTATGTTTAGGAGGGAATTTGATTGTGCATTAGAGATGTAAAATCGGGTTCATTTTAAAGCCTTTTGCTTAAGTTTTCTTCTCTGCGCCTAATACGTCGATTATGAAAAGAGTTGTACTGGTGGTATGTTGTACATAATTACACCGGTAATGTTGTTGCATGCTCTGATTATTCCGACAAAGAACTTTTTGTATGTCTACAAACAATTTCTGAAACAATGTTACATAATCTTTTTTCTCGAGTGATGCCATAAACTGCTTTGACAAAATTTTATTCTATTTTCAATTTACAGATTGTGCGCTCAGTGTCATACAATTATTAATATAAAGGTACACAAGTTTATAAAATTTTCTTTGCTCCTGGAGATCTCTGTTTATCTATTTGTCGTTCGGAATTTGGTGTTATTAATTTGTAAAATGAAACAAGGTTTCGGGAAAGGGATCAAAAAAGTATTCTCCGAAAAGTGGAGACACGCCGCCTGCCCCCTTCTTATGTGTTTTGTGTACACAATGTATAACTCATACAAATAAGAACGAAATGTGATTATCGAGTTCAATAAAATATATACGTATAATTCAAATTACTTTTTGACACGTTCCCTTATGTCAAAAGTCCGCAGTCCGAAGTCAGTTGTCGGGTGTCTGAGATTCCATTCCGAAAATGTTCAATATGGCTAGAAAACATAAATCTTAGATTTCAATTGCTTAAATAGTTCTCGAAGCATAATAATGCAATTTACATTATCTTTGAGCTAAATTCAATTTTGTTTTTTAAAAGTCTGCCACTTTCAAACCTTGCTTCAAGAGACAAGTATTTACAGAAAAAACGTAATGTTGTTTGACAGAAAGAAAGTATAGTTACGTGACATGGAGCTGATGTTAAAATAAAATGAAATTTATTTGAATTCTTTTGCCATCTAAAATTCAAGTATGTAAAACGATAGCAGGTTATTTTTTCTGTATTTCATTCCAGATTTTGATTTCCCTATAGTTTTTTAAAGAATATATATTTTTTGATTTTTTTCTTTTTTCGGGGGGGGGGGGGGGGGATTATACAGTAGAATTCATATGCATGTACGATTAATTACCACTGACACTTTTTGAATTCATGAGCATTTTGTGCATACAATATGAATGATTGTCTTTCCCCTCAACGTCAACTGGTAAAATTTTAAAATTATTTGTATGCAGAAGAGAGGAAAAAAGAGGTGGAAATGTAGGATTCCAGCCCTGCTTCTCTCGTTAAAAAACTGCCTAGAACTTAGCAAAACCTCTTATTCTAAAGGCATTTATAAATAGCAGAATGGGTTTGTTTTTATAGAGTACATGCATAATTGTACTATTTTTACGACAGAGAGATACAAATCGTTAATCAGCACATACGTCACATTCAGTTAAAAACAACAGTCGGAATTTGTTTGCCTCCATGAAACACCCTCTTTATTTTAATATATTAAACAAATAAGATTTAACGTGAGAAGATTTTCCAAACATGTTTATAACGAAGGTTCAATTTATAAAGGGTTCGTTTTCTTAATTATATGTGAAACATATTTTACCTGCAGACACATTGGTATAAACGATTGAAATAAATTATGCACAGTATATACAAGTTGGAATACTATTGTTTTACTTACCTGCTGTTACTTACAATATCTTGATTATCCCAATCAATTATTCAATTTTTCCTCACATTTTAGCATTACTGTGTCAAAACTGTCATCTTACTGCCTTCGATTAAAATGTTTTCAGTTTTTAGATTTATACAGGTAAAAATTTATTGAAATGTCACATGCACCGGCTGTAGATATATGCAAAGTCAACAGAGCGTTACTTAAATTTCATTTTACGTGAAATTTCACTCTTGATGTTGATAAATATCTAATGACCAAAAATATTAATATATCTACTTTTCCTGTTTCAGTTTTTCCCTTTTATACTTAAAAAACATACCTCCATTTTCTATTCAATTATTCAGTGCTTATTTTTTTTCCCGTCAATTCGTGACCGGATTTCACTAAATGCTTTTACCATGCTTTTAAAAGATCCCGGACGTAAATTTAAATTTCTTTAGAGTAATGCAATTTTAAAAAAAATTAAAGGGGTTTACATAAATTCCCTCTTTCATTTAATTAACAAAAAACTGTTGGATCATTAAAATTCTTGGATGGGGCAATTTTCGTGGATAGCCTTAATCTACAAAAGGAAAGATGACACTTAAAACCCCAATTATTAATTTGATGAGGATGTGGATGCAGGATGAAACTGTGATTTCAGTTAACTGAAAGATGACTGAAAGGTGACCGAATGGCAGATCGCTGAATATTGAGCCACCACGAAATCTCATGATCGATAGCGAATACAGGCACGCATTAAAACTAGGAAAAGGTAAAATGCTCTCAAATGAGGGGGGGGGGGGCGAATGGAAAGATTAGCTTTATTTAAAGTGTGCAGAGCCATACACAAGAAAATAACTGGATATCATTTATTTATTTTATCTCTGTTTTCAAATTCATATTTAAATGTGTCCATGTTTACAGTTTTCTTTTCATTCTTTCTTTTTTTTTTCATTGTTCCAATAGTTAGAAAATAATATATTTTTCTCATTTGCTTTAGGGCTGTGTTCTACCTGATTCATCGTTTTCCGTCTTTGATTTTAATAAAATTATCTTTTATTTAATAAAATTATCCTTATTTAAATGATGAAGATGAGAATGTGTGTGTGTGTGTGTGTGTGTTTAAATAAATTGATACATACATTGCTCTCTTCAGGTCCTTTGGTAAATGCACTCTCCGTGTCCGGGACCGATTGAAGTTTAAATTGCTTCGAAATACATGCAAAGTTTCGTATTTGAATTTGCTGCTGGGTGAATGATTTTCATACAAGGCACGCCCAGGTACCGAGAAAGGACTTTTTACCTGTTATTAATCCCACTCTCAAATTAAAGTACTCTATGTTATTTACACAACAGTTATTCAAAATTTTAAACCTTAATTACCATTTCACGAAGTGGAAAACAGTGTGTCAAAATCTACACACTAGCAATCTCTAAACATATAGTGTGATTTACCGGCTACCGTACCCAAAGTTTGCACCGGAAGTTCAAAATCATTAAACTTTGGATAACTACATGTAAAAGACCGGGTTGGGGTATGAAACAACAAGTCCTTGATTGATGCTGAAAAAAAAATTGATAAAAGAAATGTCTTTAAAAATTTTAAAACATTGTATCAAAGTATAATCGTATCTTAAAATATCTTTTGTTGTTGTGTAATAAAATCAAACAGTGATCCAACATAACAAACTGTTTTTACAATATATTGGTAGGATTATATGGCACTTTCTAATTTACAGTGAACATTTTTATATTATGTTCATATTGACATCGAATTTAGAAAGTGGAAGTTCAAAACATTCCAGTAATATCTTTTTTCTTCAATAAAGTAAATCGTGTAAGACATGTGCAATATAATTTTGAATAAATTTAAAATAACAAAAGTAATGGCACTATTTCTGGAGAAAGAAAAAAACGCTCATCACATCCCTTGACAAAGCTTCAATGTGCATTTCGTTTATATGAGATTGGAACTTTACTATACACTCAAAGCAATCTTAAATACTGTAGTATTTTAAATTAAATGTAAAACTACATTTGACAGTTAATAGTGATCTAAGTGCATGTTATTTCTAATGATAAAGATCGACACGTATGTCTCTTTTTCAAAATAAATAAATAAAATAAAAAGAGAGAGTGCATGCTTAATATAAAGCGTATTGTCAAAATGACGTTTAATGTTCCCTTAGTATAGTATGTGAGTAGTTTTTCAGTTCAGAAAATTTTACGATAAGTGCTTCATCTGATTTGGTAACATTTGAATAACATTGTTTAATTTGACGCCAAAGTCTATACATGTGATCTATATCAGCTTCATGCACCAATAAAACATCTCTTATAACGTCACAGTTTGCAGCATTTAATTCATCAGTCACAAAATTTACAATATTGCGCGGAGTAATTCTAAGATGCGACAAAACTTGTCCAATGAAAACATCTTCTAAACGGAAGTGCGGAACTTCACCTACAGCATGCAGTATATTCTGCACCAAGTCGGAACTCATTATGTAAGCGGAAGTAGAACACATTGGTGGATATAGTTCCTTTTTGTACTCTTGGAAAGTGACGTAAAATGGCGAAACCTTATTCCGATTAGGTTTTGATGTCCCAAAGCATTGCCCTCCGATAAATTTTGAATCTGGAAGGAAATATGCCAATCTACTAAATTTCAGTGTGTTCACAAAAATGTCCCCATGAACTTTTGTGATATGCTTTACGCTTTGACAATTCTGTATAACCCATTTGAGTCCAAGAAGTAACAATTCTGTTGTATTATGAGTATTGTAATTTACATTGAAGTTCAGGATGTCATTATAGTGTGATGCTTGATGTTCGGGATTCCAATTTCTATTCTCCGATCCAACCAAGAAGAAATATCCAATTATAGCATCCTTTTTCAATAAGTCAGACACCCAACTATGCCTAACAACACTTCGGGCGTGGACTTCTAAGGGTGATGTCACGATAATAATAACATTTCGAACCCGGTCGGATTTACATGCAGTACTCGGGGTACCCAGTGTATTGAATTGTTTTTCTTGAATGGAAATAGATGTATCCTGGGCATCATCTACAATGAGTGCGAAGGGATTATCGACATCAATCACAACATATCTGTTTTTCATTGCCTTTGTCTTTACTTTATCAAGTCTGTTTAATGTTTCACACATATATATGACGTAGACTAACGACACTGCAGCCAAAAGAACCGTCATTGTCTCTGTAGTTATAAACGGACGAAGATACTTTGCCATTATGACTGAAGATCCCTCCGTCTTTTGGGGCGGTTTTGGATGGATTACGCTCATGGGGTGCTTTCGCTCGTCTTTTCTCCCACTTGAGAGAAAGTTTGTATCATTACATGTACATTTACTAAAAACTGCAATTTCTAAAACAAAAAACAGATTCATTGATTTGCAAAATCAGTTTCAGCATTGCAAAATTGCAAATGGCTTTATTGAAAAATTCAGATTCGGTACTACGTAACAATGAATTACCATAAAAAATGGCTAGGAAGCATGATTTTTCGATTTCCTTTTCTTCGTAATTAGTTCTTGAAACGCATGATTCTTGAGCAATATTAAAACAATTTTATTAAGATCTACCGCTTTCAAATTAAGCTTCCAATGACTTGCAAAAAAAATTGTTAGAAAAATCAAATGTAAAGGTATTTCTGCCTTATGTGGTGCATATGTTTGAATTAAAGAAATTTCATTTAAATTTATAAACCATCTGGACTTTAATTCTGCAAAGCGATAATAGATTAATTCCTTTTGCTATATTGTTTTATTCAAGATTTTAATTGCTCTGGTGCATACTCCAAAAGTTTTAAATCACAGATGATGAAAAGAAAACTCACTGCGCATGCCAAGTGAGGGTTCAATGTTTTTTTTTTTTTTTTTTTTTTTTTTTTTGATATTTGATAAAGTTTTTATTTGTTCTATTTTGTTGTCTTACTGTGTAATTCATTCTACGATTAAAGATACATATCACACTGCAATTATAAATTTTCTTTTCTCCCACACAAAAGAGTTACATTTTTATTTCTCAATATTTCTTTCATTTGAAATCTTATAAGGAAATTTTGTTTGTGTAAAATGTAAAAATAAACTCTTAAAAATGTCCCCAGAAACTTTACAGTAACAAAACTTCATACATTAATTATTTCCTAGAACTTTATAAAAATAAAGTAACGTGATTAGGCGTAAAATATATGATTTATTTACGAATACCGTGCTTTTGGCGGGGACGCATAAAATACAAGATATGATACCCGAATTGAGCGGCAAAAAACGGCGCCGTAAAGTTTTTTACAATGTTTGGATCTGTAGCTGTATGGTTTATCTGTTCGATTTTTCTCAACCAGAGAGCTACAGTTCTGCAACTACATTATAATTACTTATCTGTACCGAATATAATTTTTAATATTTCAATTGAAAAATTCCGCTCAGTTGATATGCTTAATCAGAGATTCATTCTATCAGAAGTCTAAACAGGAACTTGTATAAGATTTTACAAAATGTATGTTTTAAGGGATTTATATATGACCACCCACAGTATAAAATGAAATGTACAAATTTAAATTGAAAAAAAATCAAAATTTTGTTATTATTATAATAACTTCTAGCTAATTGATTAAATGAATTGTACACAAGGAAGTAGCGTTTAATTTTTACTTGCCTGCTGCGTCGTATGTTTTCCTGATTATCTCAAACAACAACTCAACCTTTCCTTGTATTGTAAGCTACATTCACAACTGTTACCTCATAACATTTAACTAAAATGTTTTTTTTTTTTTTTAGATTTACAGATAAAACTTTATTGGAATGTATCATGCATCAGACATATGCAAAGTCAATAGAGCGTTAAATTTCACCTGCTGGTTCAGTCTGAATGTTGATAATATCTAATGACAAAATGTCAATATTTCTACATTTCCTGGTTTAGAATATTTAAATTTGCTTGTTTACTTGTATATACATGTCTCCTTCTTTATATTCAATTAGGTTGTTTACTTGCATGCCTACCCTTTATGTTTGGATTACGTCGCGCTTTCAAAGGATCACGGACATAATTTTTTTTTAAAAGACGAACTCTCACAATAGGTATTGAAATTTAAAAAAGAAATGAAAATAAAAACGATTTAAATAACTTCTTTTTTGATTAAAATAACAACAGTGAATCCAGATATGATATAAGTGTTCAGCAAGAAAGTTTAAATGCTTTTAAATCGGGATTGGGGAGGGGGGGGGGGGGGTAGTGGGTTATCTCTTTTACTGAAACTTGATTTTATTTCAAGCATGCAGTCCAATCAGAAGAAAACTATTGCATATAATTTCAATACATGATTTTATCATGGTCATCAAATTAATATTTACAACCTGTAATATATGCCCAGTTTATAGCCTTCATTTTGTTTGTTTTTAAAATCCAAATCTCTGTTCAAAAAGAATACTTTTCGAATAAGATAATTAGAAAAAAAATATTTCGTTTAAATTACCTTAGTCAATATTTTCCCTCGTTGATTTAGAAAAAATCATCCTTAATTTAGCGCCGTTCTCCTCGTTTGATTGGTTAAGATGAATTTATATATATAAAAAAAAATCATTAACCAACATATCTTACACGGAACTTCATGCATTTGCAAACTGCCAAGATAAGCCGATATATACATGTTCTTTGTCCGGTGCTTTGGGTAATGCATTCTCCGTGTCCAGAACTGATTGAAGTTTAAAAACACGTCAAAATAAACGCAACCTTTCAAAATTGAGTCGCAGTTGGTTGAGTGATTTTAACACAAGGCACGACCAGGCACTGAGAAAGGGGTTGTTTACCTGCCATTAAGCCCGCTTTCTTTAAATAAATTACTTTGCAATATTATAACACCAGTTATTCAGAATATAGAAAATTGAAAAAAAAAAAATCATTGTGTCAGTTGAAGAAAGTTATATATAATGAACAATTAAATCTGAACGATGAAGTCTTATTTGAAATATCAAATCTCACAAGCATCGCTTCTGAACATTAACATGAAGTTCCTTGAAATTAATTTATACTTAGAACTAATAACTATTTTGGATGAAGAAGGGGAGGACCACACTAAATTGACTACTACAAAGTCACGATAAATGCTGAAAGAGATTTTTCAAAGATCTTTTTAAGCCTCCAGGAAAAAAAAAAAAAAAAAAAAAAAAAAAAAAAAAAAAAAAAAAAAAACACCAAATAATGAATTTAAATAATTTCTATTATCATTGAAATCATTCATTAAATCAAAACCTGGTTATTTTACGCATAACAATTTTCATGTTCCTTAATGCCAATGTATAGGTAAATGTGATCAGATATTTTTTTTTTTTTCACTAATTAAGAACAAATCTTGTAAGCAAGACACTTATCCATTATGATATTTAATTTCAAATACAAGCCATGGAATGTTATTAAAAACAGCATTTTTATGGATACTGAACAACATCTCTTTTCCCCATGACTGGAGCGGAGGGGGCGCCATAGTACGCCAGGACTGACTGGATCCAGTCTAGGTAAGAGGAGACTCTGGTATAGACCCCCGGCTGATAGGCCTCGGCACAGGAGTACCCCCAAGACACGATCCCCACTATTTTCCAGACGCCATCTTTGATACAAACCATTGGCCCACCAGAATCCCCCTGAAAATATAAGAATTGAAAGAAGTTGTTTACTTTTAGCATTTTCTTTTTTGTCGGAAAGGTCTTACAATGTAGATTCAATATTTTCAATTGCTCCGGGTTACTGAATTAACTTTAGGAGGACTATTTTGCAGAAGTTTGTGGATGTGAATTAATAATGCGGACCAATGAGCCACAAAAAATGATATAAAGATATACAGTGTAAATAGAACAAATTATAAAGTATTAGATGGGTGTGTTAAGTTTAAAAACATCCAAAAAAAAAGTCATCAAGATATCTTGCCTCAAAAAGTCAAACAAATGTACTAAAATTCTACAGTCCTCCACCCCTCCCCCAATATTTGATACCCCCCGGAACTTTGAAATAATTTCTAAATGTTTAATCAAAATCTGTACAGTACATCACGATCACGCATTCTACAAAATCCTAGTGGTCAGTCTTAAGGAGGGATTCTTCTCATATTTCTAGTATTTAAAAATCAATGAAAGGACAAGATAGGCTAAGACCCCTTTTTGGCCCCTGGTTTGGGGTGTCTTTAGAATGATGCAACGGTATATCAATGAAAACCTGTTGTCACCCCTACCACAAAATAAGTATTGGTCCTAAGTTATGGGATACACAGAGGTCACAGGAAGGTCAGAAAATTGGTCAATTTCTGAATTTTCTCATTTTCATGCAAATTTTCATCGATTTTACTGCACATTTTGTTTCAGAAAACATAGAGCACAAGCTTGCCTATCTACCAAATTTATATATTTCATACACTAGTATCAGATGCATTTTGTGTATGAAAATCTCAGATAGGCAAGCTTGTGCTCTATGTTTCCCGAAGTAAAAAGTATCTTAAAATTGATGAATTTCCACCAGAATTAAGGAATTCGGGAAAATGTCTTACTTCTGCACCCTCTTGTGGCCTCCGAGTAAGGTTTGAATGAAAATTAGTGCTGGTTTTAAATCAAGCATCATTTTAAGTTCTTAACAACAAACTGTCACAGTTTTAACTGTGTTCCGATTTTTACATCAAATAAGGGGCCAGATTCGACCGTTACCATACCTTGTCCTTTCATAGAAATAAGAAGACAGTATCACTAAGTGATGGTATCAGTTAGATTAAATTTGACTGTTTTATATTAGAGGCAAGGTCAGGTCAAGGTCATTACCTTTTCCATGGACATTAATAATAAAATATTACTGTTGCCAGTCATGCGATGCCTACTTTCAAAAGATTAAATGTTTTTCTTTTTGCATAAAGAGATATTACCATATAGGGTCTATAAGATGATATTACCAAATTGACATAAATAATTTAACTAAAATGGATATGGCTAATCCGAATTGTCTCTATATTCTTAAATTTTTAGGATATTTTAGTTATTTTTATATGCTTCCTAGATTTAAAATTTTTCTTATTTTCACATATGGTAAAGTTGTCACCGAAAGATACAAAAAGATATAAAAACAAAAAGTTTTGATCGTTTACTAAGAGAGAAAAAACACTTTTTACAGATTTTTGGCTCAAATCTGTACTTAGATTGGAAGCTTTTAAAAGCTAACATAATTGTAGTTTGTTTGGAAAATCATATTTATTTGATATATTTTAAAACTTTAGTCCCTTATTATTAATTTAACTTACATTTAAAAATTTCTTCAAGTCTCTGATTGTGTAAAAATTATAACTAATTTCATTGTTCTATAATAATTTTGAGAGGCAGAAAAGAAAATATTTTCATACGCCGCCATTCCGCCAAAAATATAGTCCCTGCTAGATTTCAAACTCGGTTTACCATTTCTATTTAAAGTTGTACAATTGTGATGAGGAAAGAAAAATGTAATCTTTTAAATCTCTTACATCTAAATATATAAAACATATAAGCAAATATATTTTGAATATTTCATCTAGTCAGAAACCAGACAAGTGTCCCTCCTTAAGGAATTCTGGTGTAAATATAAAGGCCCTCGGATACAGGTAAGGGAAATATCTTAAAGCTTTCTAAACAGTTATAAATTACATGTATATAATTTATCCCGTACGGTATACTCAAAATTTGCTTGAATTTCATTTTAAACTTCATCTCCTGTTGATAAAAGTGTCATAATAAAGGAAAGGAAAAATTCCACGATAGTGAGCTGACTGGATTTTCCGTATAGTTTACAGTTATTATATAATGCATTTAAGCATTTTTCGTGTACATGTAGCAAAAATTTTGATTTCTAATTCAGTTCGTGATTCCGTAGCCTAACAAACGCTTCAGTTAGTCTATTTTTGGAAAGTTTTAACAGTGTATAAGAATGCTAACAACACACTTTACGTGTACATGTAACATAAATTTTGACTTCTAATTCAGGTTCTTGGTTGCGTTGCCTAAAAAACGCTTCAGTATCTCTATTTTGGAAAGTCTAAAAAGTGTTTAAGAATGCTAACAACACGTAACTTTCCATAACTTCACGACGACCTGGGAGTGTTTCCAATGTTCATACCTGACAGGAGTCAACACCGCCATGTTTTCTTCCTGCACAAACTTCCGTATCCGGAATAGTTTTATCCATTAGATATGAACAAACTGCATTAGAAATCAGAGGAACGTTCGCTTTGTACAGACCCCGTGTGCCATGACCTCCTGTAAAAATTGAATAAATAAATATAAAAATAAATAAATAAAACTAAGACAGAAATACGCTTGGTCCATTCAATTTTATTCTCTCATTCATATATTCAAAATTGCTTCTGTGGGTTTGCTCCGAAATCGGCTGTGTAATTATTTTTTTCATTCACCGATAAGTTAATAATATATACATATATATAAGAGGTGACCTTATATGGCAAGAAATTTTACGTATGTGTAGTTCGAGAAGCATAGTCATCCCCATCTAGCGCAAATAAAGGTACTAGAGTAGTACATTATTTAAATAGTGCACGTTTTTGAGGGTAACAGTTGAAATTGACACCCCAAGGAAAACCATTGTCAACCGACGCGTCAGCGGAGGTTGACAATGGTTTTCCGAGGGGTGTCAATTTCAACTGTTACCCTCAAAAACGTGCACTATTTATTTTATTATACTGAATGTCTTATTGATTTTGGATGTCATTAAAAAATTCGGAGATCGTCGTTATCTTCACGCTTAGAAAGCTTTCAAACTCCCCGCTTCTATTTTTCTCAATAGGAAAGCTTCGTAAAAGATTTACCAACCTCTTTATTATTTGTTTGCTACTCAAAAAGTCCTTTATCACCTAAAGTTTGCACTCGCAAGGTTGTTTCGTCTGTCGTTTGTCTTTTTCAAGTAAGCTACATCGGACGCAAGCTTTTATTGACGTCGTTTATTCGGCTTCTTTCAAACGCACAACCGACGTTTTGAGAATTCTACGGTGAACCGTACGCACATGATTTGAAAGCATGTGATATTTTCGTAATATTACCCGTTGTCAAGTGTGTTGCTAACGCTGAGGGTAATATTACGGATTGTTAAATGTGTCTAAACCAATCAGATTTTAGTATTTAACATGAAAGTATAATAATTCCTAATAGTTAACCCCCCCCCCCCCGCCGAATGTTTGACAACAATTCCTTATTTTTCAAAGACATATTTACACTTTATACAGTATTTTCATGTGAAATATTTTAAGAAAAATGACAATCTTTTAAAATTATACCTCAACTCAACCGTTTATTTTCCAATTGTGCAGGATTGAAAAATCGTTTAAAGATTTATAATGATTTAATGATTTCGTTAAGGGTCAGAATGTTGATGATTATAATAAGGGGGGGGGCGTGAAAAAGCTAGTAAATCCCCCCCAAAACATGTTCATGTTCTAGAATTCATGTTGGAAGAATGAAAAAGAATTTCTAAAACATAAAAATGTACACTGTACATATCACAATGACGTTTTGCCATGTTAACCAGATACAATGCTAAGGGATTAATATTTATTCGAGAATATCTTATTTTTTTTTCGACATAAAAATTGGAGGATCTTTTTGATTATATCAGCTATACAGAGTATTTCATAAAATTTCATTTTCTTGAAATGTATCGACATTGTAAACATAACCTTATATCTTTCCTTTCATTCACAGAAGCATGTGCAGCATAACGATCTTTACGAATAAATTGTATTCTAACACCTCAGGACTTCACTATAAAGGAAATGAAAAAATCGAAGATTGTAATTGGCTTACCGCTGTACGCAGCGCCCCATCCGGTCACCGTACAAATCATTCCATCATAACTCTCATTGGCTGATGGTAGACAGACGGGTCTAACATACTCTGTAAAAGAGGGAACCCGGTTCCCCAGTTTTAACATTGCGATGTCGTTAAAGTACTGACTGGGACTATAGTGTGAGTGGACGAAAAGTGTATCCACCTTCTCTAGGATTTCGTGACCCTCTAACACAGCCCGGTCATTTTCTCCCACCACTACTGTCCAAGCTCTAGGGTTCTTGTTCCTTTTTTGAGTAAAAAGAAAAGAAAGATACTGTTAACCAACTACAGTTTATTATTTGTGACAAATCTAATTCAGGTTCCCCAACTTGGAATCTTTCTGCGACTTTTAATTTCCGCTACTTTGGAAATTTAACATTCTACACTATTACACAATAAAATCATTGGATTGCGATATGAAGTGTTCGCGAGTACCAAAGAAAAAAAAGAAAAGAAAAAAATATCGGATACTTCTCGCACACGAAAAAAAGTTAGTTAATAGTATATCTATCTATCTATCTATCTATCTATCTATCTATCTATCTATCTATCTATCTATCTATCTATATATATATATATATATATATATATATATATATATATATATATATATATATATATATATATATATATATATATATATATATATATATATATATATATAAAATTATTTACTACTTCTTAATGCTAAGTATATTATTTGACCTCTTGCATGAAAATAGATTTCAACTTAGAATGGAATTTCTATGTAATTATATACCTTTATTTTAGTATTGTTTTTTAACTAAATGTTTAAAATGAAGCAGATAGATGTTTTAATAATGAATTCATGGAAAAATTTACGTAGATCAATTTTGTGTTGGCCAATATTCATGGCCTCTTACGACTCCCACTTACATTTTCTTGAATGAATGCAATAAAAAAAAAAAGATTCACTGTGATGGAAAAATACAAAAAGAAAATTGTGTTCATGGTGGATTATATATGGAACGGATAAAAGCTTTTATAGTTGGTCTTTTAAAAGTAAGCCCTATAGTCCCCAAACATCTCGTAAGTTTGTACACTGTAGAGTAAATCCCGATATCAGGATTATACAAATGTAGTTGCACCAATACATGCAACTTACTCATTAAAGCAGTGGGCAGCCGTGAGAACCCATTGGTCAGCTATGAGTATTCCGCCACATACGTGATGTCCATTTGATCTCATTGAAACCTTGGATGATAGAAAGAATTTTTAATCTTCAACAAATTTCTAGTACACTCAAAAATATTTTCTCTTTTTTATATATATACTTGTTTTGTACCTTAAAAACACAGCTATTAAGAGAGTTACGACTGTTCACCATGTATAATTTGAAAATGACAATTATGTAACACTCAAATTTATTTTTTCTAAACAAGTTTTATATTTACATGTAAATGGTGTTAAAAAAAAGAGATAGCAATATTCCAAAGCAAACTTGTGACAGAAAAAAACCCCAGCACATATGATTTCAGTAAACTAACCCTTAACATTAATTTTCCTTTCACAGTTTCAGTATTGAAATGATTTGTGACAAAATGTACCTGCCATGGGAATTCGCCAGGTTTAGCCCTTGTGCCTCCAACTATTTTATATTGATGTGTCGTTATAGGTGTGCTTAATCCACACTGACCTCAAGAAATATCATAAAAGAATAATATCAACCCTGGACTAAATGACATGTTTGTATATGTATCTCTCTTTGTTGAATACACAAAATCAAAGCATTATTTCACAAGCCCTAAGAAAGCTCAATTTATTTCAGCTTGATTAATATATTGGTGATGTCCAAATCAATAATGCATTGAATTTTCCTGAAGATCTTGATGGTTAGTTAGTTGTAAAAACAAAAACAATATTCAACGACACTTCAATAAGATTGACATGAACCTTATTTATGTTTTGATCAATACAAATGTTTACTACGTTGTATCATTAACATAATTACAAATAATTGTTTGTTTTGGAAAACAATTCTTGAAAAAATCACTTTATGTACTACAAATATGACAAAAAAGTTAATGTAATATTCATACATACCGGGGTGAATGGGAGGAGTTAATTGGAACTTAGGAGGAATACAGCACATTTCCTGAAAGCCACAACCACTCCTGGTATAGGAGTACCCAGACAGGCAGTTATTAAAGTAATAATTAACACACGTTCCTCCATAATTTGTGTGGCACACTGAAAATTATAGACAGTATCTACTTAATTCCACATGAATACAAAATGTGACTGTACAGAATGCTACATTTTTATCGTAACAGAATATAATCAAAATTTTGACTAAAAAGTAAACACCTATACAATTAATTGATAAATCACAGTTAGCCAATATTTTGCAGAACTCCTCAACTCTTTCGAACTGTTGTTTTGCTGCCTAAAGTGTAATTAAATTGTGTTTCGTTATGAATAGTTTTGTTACAAAATATGTGCAAACCTATATATAATTTCCTAAATAAATTCTACTTTGTTTCTTATCGATTTATATGAAATGTTTATTTTAAATTAAGAAAAATATTATTTGTTTTGCCAAAGCCTAACAAAATATGGAAAATTATTACGTACAATCTTGTAATGCCACTCCTCCAATCAACGAAAGCAAAGTGAAAAACCTCAATGGACTCCCAGACATGGCTGCCGAGTGTGAAAAGCAGGACAATGATAAGAATCTGGCGCATGCAGAAGAAACCTAATCTCAATCTACTGTGAAGTCCTCAAGGTGTGTTTAGGTACAAAAATGATAAAGCGGACATTATTACCATATACATGGTATATATGGTTATACATGTACATGAACTCTGTGAATGTTTTTATCTGTTTTTAGTTGTTTTATTTGGTAATATTTTTAAAGAAAGTTCTAGATATTGGGTTCTTTTATGTTTTGAGTGTTGTGGTCGCTCTACTTATGGACAATTTCTTAAAAGAGGAAAGCTTTTGACAATAAAGCTTATGGCACAAATATATCAACAGTCCCATTCAAAGTCAACATTTCGTAAATTTTGTGGTCTATACAATGACCTTTGCAGCAAATACAGTCAATCGTTAAGACAAATATTGTCTGACGTTTTTCATTCAAAATGTTATTCCATTATTTTCACACTGCATTACAAGGAGCACACGGCGGATGTAACTGGTCGACAGGAGATGCTTACTTTTCCTTGGCACCTGATCCCACCTCTGATTTTTTTTCACAGGCCCTTGTTTGCTCTGCTCCCAATTTGCACTCTTCCAATGCACTTTTGAGCTTGGTTACTGTTCCAATCTTCATAGTTTGCTAAAAAGGCGAAGGTTAGATGCGTTTGTTTATTATAGTATTTCCTCCGTGCCCAGGATAATTCGAATAGTTACGATGTGTTGCCCTTTACATGTTTAAATAACTAAAACATTTATTTTTAAAATGAATCTTCTCAGTCAAAATAATAAAAAACATGCAAATATTTTGACCGAAAAGCAGTTACTTAGTTGAAACTGAACTTTAGAAAATGGAAGGCGAGTTTGTTACACTTTAATTTTTCTTTTGTGAAATAAAATAATCATGAAGGTTGTCTGGTGTAAGGAACGTATTTATCTACTATACCATGAACTGAAGACACTGTCATTATTTGATACAGTTAACGCTCAAGACGCATCCTTTACTCTTACATCTTTGATCATTGTGTGTGTGTGTGTGGGGGGGGGGGGGGGGGGGGGAGGGTGCGTTAGTGTGTTTACCTTTGTTTTCTTTATAAAGCAAAATAAATAAATAAATAAATAAAACATTAAAAAAAATTGAATAAAATGTAGAGCTTCTAGATTCTAATAACTTTCTAATTTTGTATTCCCTTTTCTGCATAGTGCAGAACTTGCCGTTCAACTCGATAAAGGATCTATGAATCAATTGTTTGAACACATGAGCATTCATGATCAGGGAAGAGAGTATAGTATATAGGTTAAAGTAAACCTGCATACTTTATAGAGTAAGCTTAACACACGACTCGTAAATAGGCATATTCCATATAAGTTTTATTATCTCTAATATTAACACAACGGGTACATGCGTGGAATGGACGTGTTCCTGCTGGTTACTTATATTATTTTTGTTTATATTTTATTGCAGTTTACGTGTATTTGTGTTTGTTTTTATACTGCACTGACCTGTGCAACTGTTTTTCTCTTCTGTTTTGGAGGAAGCACACCATTACTTTGTCGCTATGGAGAGTTTACAATAGCTATGTAGAATACGCTCGTCTATACAGGTAACAACTGATTACACTGAACAGTGTCTGTTTGAACGGCTCATGGAGCCCTCAGATATAAGGACTGAATAAAAGAATTCCTTTTACGAATCGTGCTCAGCTTTAAAATCCGAGGTCCTGTGTCACGGTAGGCGTTGACACGATAAAGCTCCCCCACTGCTCAATGACTCCGAGTGCCAAATTTGAAGCTCTTCACCGGTATCTGGTAACGTTTCTATATGAGTTTAAAAAATTGTCGAATGTAAAACATCATACACTCAACCAATCAATCAATCAACAAGGATAAAAGTCAATGACTCAATGCAACATGTTCAGCCAAAAAAAAAAAAAAAAACAAACAAACTTATAATGAACAATAGGATCGAAATGAGACTTTTCAAGGCATGTGCGATGGGTTATGGAAATTGACCTTTCCAAATACATCTTGTTTTTTTCAAAACAACAAACATACGTAATGGTTTTTTTCTTTATACCACTTCATCAAAAGATAAGAGTTTTAAGAGTTTATATTTAAGCAATCATGGGTGAGCTGCTTTTTGTTGGTTAATCCAGGTTAGGAAGGAACTGACACGTGTGTACACTCCAGGGGCATTCCTATCCCCACAGCCGTACCCCCAGGACACGATTCCTGCCAACTTCCACACACCATCCTTCTTACAGACTAAAGGTCCGCCACTGTCTCCCTGAAAAGATTTTTTATTACGACAAGAAACTTATTTGCATGTACGTTCATTATATAATACCTTTAAGAAATTACGCTACGTTGTTGAATTTTATTTTCTTATTTTCTGTATAATTTCAATTTTCCAATAATTGAAGGACTTCAGTTTGTGATATTTTATGATGCCTGGTAATGCTGTACACCTACTCTGAATCAAATTTTGAGATACCATATACAAGCTAAATCTACATTTTTGTTCATTTTTTTAGAAAAAAAAAAGCACAAGGGTTTTCAGAATTTGATATCTGTTCAAAACTCCCGGTAATTCTATCTTAGAACATTATGGCACTATGATTTTAAATGAAGAATATCTTGGAAAATTATTTGTGGAAAAGGTTCAATGTGAAATACATATACATGCACGTTTTGTATGACCTTAAATAAATTCTGTCCAGAGTAATTCATAACATGTATAATCAAAGGATTAAAATCAGAAACAAAAATAGAATTAAGAGGAATAATGACATTTAAATCACTTAAAACTCTATTTTGACTTTTACAACAAAATGTGTAACAAAATGCAAATAAGAAACAAAACGAAATCATATACATTCATGTGATATATGTTCTAATATTTTTCTTCTGAAAACGCACAATGAATGAAAATTTATCTTACATTTATATTTTTTTTTAACTTTGAACAAATTACAGATGCATGCAATATTGTCCTTTAGTACGTTTCAGAAGTTTTGCTATTGCAGTAGTTCTGCACTGACATCTTGCAAGGCAAAATGATGAATGAAAAAAAAAAAAAAAAAAAAAAAAAAAAAAAAGATAAAGAATTGAGTTAGATAGCAGTAAACCCTTAGACAGATATTAAATGTGCAAAATACAAAAAAAAAGCCTACAAGGTGTTACATTATCATTAAAAAAAAGTTTTGAAGTGAAATATGTGGAGAGCTCAAATGTCCATTAACCATTACAAAATAGGAGCAGAGCAAACAAGGACCTCTTAGACATCAGAGGTGGGATCAGGTGCCATGGAGGAGTGAGCATCCCCTGCCCACCGGTCACACCAGCTGTGTGCTCCTTGTCACGACCGGGAAACAACGGAAAAATCTGTCGACAATTCAGTGTATAAATTATGGCCTAACAATTAGTATGAAAAAAGTCAGTCTGCATCTGACCTAACAATACATGCAGTAAGGAGAATAAAAAGAAAAAAAATCTTGAACATCCTATGCATGAAAGAGACAGAATAATAATGAAAACACCCAAAACACTGATTTTTTGCGCAAACCACGTGATTCTACGAACCTGACAAGCATCTTTCCCGCCTGCCCTCAGACCTGCGCAGATATTACTGGTGTGAACGTGATTTCTACCCAAGAAGTACTGACACTGGGAGTTTGTCATCGTCGGTACATCAACCTTTCTTAAGTACTGGGCGCCAGGAGCATTACCATTGTTATCTGAAAGTTAAGATTCACCTGATTTTAAGGATGTCATTTTAGTATTGTCATTTTAGTATTCCTAATATGTAACTTTTTTACGGTTGCTGCATGCAAAATGTTAAAAAAGTTGTCAGAAGTAGGCCAAAACATTCGTTGTTATCTTACTAGCCAATGTCTTAAACCTTAAACCCAATAACCCAGTTAACTTTAGGCATTCAAGAGAGACTTCATCGATCGCCTTAGATATCTTCAAAATTCTTTCTAATTTTGCAAGCAAGAGGTGAAAGCAAATAAGCAACAAAATAAAACGCACCATTGAGAGCAAACTTTTTATACATAATTGAATTATATTTATGTAAATAGAAAATATTTTTATGCATGTGATGCATTGAGGATTATAAGCAATTGGAATACAATTAGATTTCTGTAGAGGAAGAGTCCTGCAAAATTTAAATCAAAATAAACGCATTGAAAACTACTTAAAAGCTTCAAATGAACGTTTGCAATTAAAACAAACTGCATAATTTGTACAAATACAACGTTGACTGAGTGGTTTGATGCCTGATTATGTGCTTCTGAAACTGTGTAACATAAACTTCTTTTATGTATCCTGTCATTACAAGATTTTTTTCATACTTTTGTCATAAACAGGTCTATGCCAAGCAAGACTGTATGAGTTTACGTACTTATACTGAAATATAATATATACATGACAGCTTTAATTTTAGACATCCTGGCGTAAATGAGCACAGATATCAGATGTCAGAGTTTATTTTAACAGCAATGCTGATGGACTCCTGACCACTTCTATTCCCCATTTTATCCGACATGCGCCTTTGCCACCCCGACGTATCACGTGCAGACAGGGTTGGCCTGGAAATACCAATGGTGGGAATTACCAGTGGTAAATACCGGTATTTCCCTTCCCGGGAAATACTACTAATTTTCCCTAAACTGGGAAATACTGGGAAATACAAATTTAAAGTCTTTTTATTTCTTTAATTCATTCAATCTTATACAAAATTCAAAAATAAACATAAAAGCAGAAGATGAATAATATGGAATATGTCTCAAATTGCAATTTAACATATTCAGAATGTATCACTACTCCTGAGTCCAGGTCCCATACCAATAAGCATTCTGAAACATTTCCCTGGCTGTATAAAACTGAAGTTTTCCAATTCAAGTTTCTTTTCAGTTTTGTAAAATTATTAAGTTAATTAATTATAAATCCAAAACCCCCCAAAAATTGTGTTAATCCTTCTATAAACACTGTAGTTATTACCAATAATCATGTTGTCTTAACAAATTGCTTTGGACAGTTT